CACACACACGGCCAGTGCTTCCCCACCCCTTTCTACTTGAATGCAGTCGCAGTATTTTTGACATTTTTACAATAAAGTCCTTATGGTCAGTGAAAACAACAGGAATTTGACAATGACGGTGTTTAAGTCAATATCTGGGAAGAGACGCTACATGAAAAGGGTTTCGAAAATATTAGCACATTGCACACGGAAAACTATTTCTTTTTATTTGTCTCCAAGGAATCTCATAGATGTTTCATTTTATAACAGAACATGGAAGATTGCCAAGTGGCTTCCGGCAAATTTGGCGTGTCAGATTCAAGCCCAGTAATAAAACCAGGACCAAAAGCCAGTCAGGTACGATTTTCTTCCTCAGACCGTGTGTTTCTTTCCCCTGAACACTGGAGAAACAGGTCCGGTGTATGCTTTTACTGTTTAGCTTTCTCCTAATGAATTCCGTAGTTGGTAGGGCCGTGTCTACAGTCCTGACTTCGCTCATTAGTGTTTTCAGCAAACACTCAGTGAGTGTCCTAGCACGCTGGAGCACCAGGCTAGACTTCACAACAAGCCCTGCTGGGTTCGGCATGGGAAGAGCTCGCAGTGGTCGGAAATCAATGGGAGTGCAAGTCAGTGCAGTCCACCCTGCCAAGCGCTGTAATAAAGGCTGGCAAAGGAGCCGTGGGGAGCAGAGCTGGAGAAGAGTAGTGATTCTGGGAAAAAGAAGCATTCCATCACAGAGGATGGCCTGGAGGGAGGTCAGGATTTCTCCAGGCAGCCACCAGGAAGGGGTTTTGAGACCAGATAACGTATTGGGGGAGTCACTCTTGAATAGACCAGAAAAGCATAAGCATTATAGCAGATATAATATGCCATGATGTGGCTGGGCACATTGGAGGCTGTAAATCCTTTTGATTGGCATGCACGCCTCTGCTGGGTACCGCTTGAAGGCTTTGCGGTCTCCTTCCCTCTGACATCCTTGCAGAGTCCCGTGGACACCATCACCATCCTGCGCCAGTTTCCATTTTCCTCGGCCCTACAGAGGATGTCTGTGATTGCCCAGCTGGCTGGTGACCTCCACCTCCACGTCTACATGAAGGGCGCCCCAGAGATGGTGGCCAGCTTCTGCCAGTCTGAAACAGGTACTGATGTTTTTTTTTTTTTTTTCTCTTTCGAGAGGTAAAACCTTTTAAAAGGCCAGACACAAAAAACAGACTTCAGCACCACCACCACAAAGCACAGGACGACGTAAGCTGCCCCAGGATGTGAAAGGAGCTGGTCAGTTAGGAGAAAGTAGCACAGGAGAGCCTGAGAGGCAGGGCGGGAGATTTGAAGGTGCAGAGGTAAACATCTGGCTTTCATACAGCCAGGAAAGTACAGTCATCGTGGGACTACACGGCGGATGTAGAGCAAAACCGTAGAAGGTACATGGGCTGGATGACTAGAGCGGAAACCTGGGGTGAGATTTGAACACTTGACCAGATCTGAAGAATTCTCTCAACTCCCAGGCAAGGGGGACAGGGCTGGCTCTGCTTTTAGGAGCTGAGACAGAGCAATAGGAAGGAGATTGTGTGTGTATGTGTGTACCTATGTATGTCTGTGTATGAGTACACATGTCATGTATGTATGTCTGCATATGTATGCCTGTGTATGTGTGTCTGTCTGTGTGTGTGTGAGTGTGCAGATATGTGTCTGTGTGTGTATGTATGTATGTGTGTGTATGTATGTTTGTGTATGTGTATGTATGTATATATGTCTCTATGTGTCTGTGTGTGTGCATATGTGTGTATGTCAGAGAGAGAGAGAGAGACTGTGGGAGTCATTTCACTCCTTCCACCATGTACCATGTAGGACTCAGAACTTGCACTCTGGTCATCAAGCTTGGAATCTTGTATCTGTTGAGCCATCTCCCCATCCTGGGAAAATTCTTCAATAATTTTTTCTTTTATTGAAAATAGATTTTTTTCTTATAATATATTCTGGTTATATATCCCTCCCTGCCTTCCCTCCCATCCAGATCCATACCCTTCCCGTCTCTTGTTAGAAGTGAACAGGCATCTAAGGAATAAAATAAAACAAGATAAAACAAAAAAACCAAACAAACCACAAACCAGAACAGGATAAAACAAATGGAAAAAGCAAGAGAGGCACATATAAATGCAGAGACCCACATGTGCACACACACACACACACACAGGAATCCCGTAGAAACACAGAACTGGAAGCTATAATATATATGCAAGGGACCTGAAGGTTAAAAAAAAAAGCCCTGACAACATTGTGAGACAAGGACCTGCACAGTATTTGTGTTGGCATCTACTGCTGGGCCTGGGGCCTGCCCTTGAGAGTGATTTGTTTCCCTAGAGAAACTCCTTTGTACAAAACCAGTTTTTCACTTGCAAGTGGTTATCCATGGGACCTAGCCTCTTTAAGGATGGGGGCATGTGTCCACTTCTCCTCTCAGCTCTAGGGGCCCATCTGGTGGTCCAGACCTGTGTGTGCTGTCTCAGTCTGTATGTCCGTCAGTTTTTCTATGTCAGAAGACCTTGTTTCCTTGGTGTCCTCCATTCCCCTGGGCCCTCACACTCTTTACACCTCCTTTTCTGCAGAGGTTTCTGAATCCCGGGGGAGTGATTTAATGGAGACATCCCATTTAGGGCTGAGTGTTCCAGGGTCTCTCACTGTGCAGTGCCTGGCTGTGGGTCTCTGTCTTTGTTCCCATCTGCTCCAGGAGGAAGCTTCTCTGAGGATGGCTGAGCAAGGCACTGATCTATGACTACAACTGAATGTTTGGAGTCATTGGATTGCTGTCTTCCTTTAGCAGAGCAACAGTATTTAGTTTGCCCCAGGTCCATGCCTGTCTAGTCTCAGGTTCTTGGCCGCCCAAGCAGTGTTGAGAATGGGTTCCATCTCCTGGAGTGGGCTTTAAATCAAATCAGATCTTAGTTGGAAATATTTTTAAAAGAGAAATATTTTAGGGGGAAATGATTAGACTAAATTAGATGGTATTAGATGGTTTTCCCAGCAATTTTTATCTTTCTGGTCCAGACTCTGAGATGAGCTGTGTTATTTAATATTCTCCTAAACATATGCACATTCTAAGTGGTGGCCAAATTTATAGAAAATCTGTGCATTCAAATAAATTCACTTGGATGAAACTGGCATTTTTCTCTTGTTTTTCATCTACGTGTTGTGATTAGCCATCAACTGTGCCCAGAATTCTAGATTTCATGGAAGTTTATTCTAACTTCTACATTTAGAGTCTGTTTAGTTTAATCTTAGAAGTCTCCTTTTCCTTTTTTTGTTTTTGTTTGTTTTTTGTTTGTTGGTGTTTGTTTGTTTTTTGAAACAGGGTTTCTCTGTGTGGCTTTGGCTGTCCTGGAACTGGCTCTGTAGACCAGGCTGGCCCCGAACTGGCAGCCTCTGCCTCCCAAGCGCTGGGATTAAAGATGCCCGGCAGAAGTCTCCCTTTCTGTGTCAAGGATGAAGGACTTGCCTATCGTGCACAGGATCTGTGTCTGATTCCCAGAAAGGGAAAAAAAGACCTCCATTCCTGCTTTTGATCTTCCTCATAAACCCCATTAACAACGTCTCAAACAGGTTGTAGAGTGTATTAGGCTTTATTTGCTTCTGCTTTCAGCCATTGTAGACTTCAGTGAGAATCTCCCTGTTGCACTTGCTTTCTCAGGAAGAGTCCAGCCTCCAATCTGCTGTGCTTATCTCCACAAAAGCCTGTACAATTCTTCCTCTTGTCTTGACCTTTGATCTCTCACCTCCCTCTTCTATAAAGAAACGAGGGGTGGAAGCGTCCTTGAGATTTGGTCCCTGTCTTTGGAAACATTTTAGAAATATGCAAAGTCTGAGATAAATGGGAACTGAAGGTCCAGTCATCGCTCATGTTGGAGGTGGAAACCAAGGTGCGGAAGAGAAGCTTAATAGGTTGAACTCAGAAAGTGAATTGGGTATAGAATGGAGAAAAAAACTTAGTTACTTCACCAGCTAAGTGTTGTATGTCAGCTCTCATCTGACACTCTCCCATAGGCACATTAGACGCCACAAAGAATTTATAAATACAAAAACATAGTTGCGCCAAAATGTGTAAGTGCTGCATTGTGTCAACAGTCTTGTTATGCAGGGATGCGGGCTGGGGCCATGGCTCAGGGGGTACAGCCCTGGCTGGACAAGCTTACAAGACTTACTGGCCGTGTTTGGATCCCTAGAACTGACTTTTAAAAGCTAGATGTGTAACATCTGCATCTGTAACCTTGGTGAGCACCTGCCGGGAGATGGGAGCCAGAACCAGCTTGCCAGATGGCCAGCCTGGTCTGTGCAGCAGTAAACAAAAGGAGAGATGCTATCTCAAAACAATGAGAAAAGTGAAGGCTCAAAGTTGTCCTCTGACATCCACACATGCACAGTGGCACACACATGCCTGTACACACTCATACACACACACACACTATATATATATATATATATATATATATATATATATATATATACATATATATATTATGTATGTATAAATGGTCAAATATTTCTGTAAAGAGTCACTCAGTGCATATTTCAGTCCTTTCTGGCCACATAGTATCTGTATCAGCTAACCAACTTGGCCACTGTGGCCACAAAACAATCATGGATAATAAACAAGTGAGTGGACATAGCTTAAAACTTTATTGACAAGAGAAAACAGTGCATCAAATGTAGCCTGAACATTATCAACCCTGATCCAGAAGATTGGCTATTTTTCTGAATTCATTCTAGAACACACAGTCATGAGGTCTGTCCTTGGTGAAGCCAATCAGTATATTTGACACTGATCGACTCATCTTGGTCATCTTCAGGGAGCTGCTATAACAAAATACCTCAGGCTGGGTGGCTTAAATGACAGAAGTCTGTCTATCTTTCATCATTTTGGAAGCAGGGCTGTCCAAGGTTAAGGTGCGGATAATTTGGCTCCTTGTGAGGGCTAGCCTCCTGGCTTGTGAATGTGTGCTTTGCTGCTCCTGGTAAGGAGAGAACATCTCTGTACCTTAATCCTACTCATGAAAGTTCACTTTCATGACTTAATTATTTTCCAACGGCCTGTATACAAATACAGCCATATTTGGGATTAGGTTTTAACATAGTTTGGGACACAGAATCAGGACATAGCCCAGCTGATGAACAGCACAATTTTACCATTTTTTTTTTCCTCATCAGAGTAATGTGAAGCTGTTGCTGGCCTCTGTCTGAAGCTCCATGTTTTCTAGTAAAGCATTTTTACAAAGTGAAAGTGGAAAGATGGGAATACACCTGCAGTCGCTCAGGTGCTGGGTAGGTACTTCCTTGTGCTCTTACATTTCCCTCTCCCCTCCTCCTCACAGTGCCCAAGAATTTCCCGCAGGAGCTGAGGAAATACACAGTACAAGGCTTCCGTGTCATCGCCCTTGCCCATAAGACCCTGAAGATGGAGAAGCTTTTGGATGTAGAACGTTTGGAAAGGTATGCCACGGGAAATCCAGACCAGGGGGACGGTCTTCATCCAAGAAGGGAGGAAGCCCTGGAGATGGGCTGACGACTGCTCCCATCACTAGGAAGTTCTTGGACAGAGATCTCTTCTCATCTAGTCCTCGGCTTGGAGATGGGCAACTTGGGTAGGACATGCTCAGGTCACATGGTGGTTTGTGACAGAGCAAATACGGCAGCTGAGATTTCCCAGACTCCACATCGAAGCTCTGCCCTGCCCTGCATAGCATTCATCTTAGTCTTGGGTTTTTGTTCCCCTCACAATGACAAAATCTCATCCCCCATGGACCTAGGTGTCTCTCAGAGACCTCTCTCAGAGAACACAGCTGATAATTTGGAAGGTTTCCAGAATCCCCCCCCCATTTTTTTTTTCTGGAATTTCTCAGATCTGGGCTTTTTATTTCCCTCAGATCTGGGAGGGATGTAGTGAATGCCAATTGGATTCCATATAGGAAATAAAACTCAATATTTTTAGTTACATTAAAGGGATGAATTGGCCTCATTAGAGGATAATCTATATACTGTATTCTTCCACCTTTCAGAGGTTCATTTTAAGTGATCTACAGTAAAAGAATAGGCAAACTAAATAAATGATAGCCTATGTAGTCCATATATTTGATGTATTAAATTTATATTTCTAATTCAGAGATTCTCATTCCTATATAATTGGCTCTATTGTATAAGGTACCAATGTATTTGGTTCATTGTTACTATCTGCAACCTGTCTTTCTAAGATAATTGGTGCCTTACATGGTACCTGTTTGTACATGTACAAAATGTAGGATTGGGTTATCTCCAAGGAGCTTTTCAGATGAGAGATTTTTGTCTTTGAAATAGAATCATAGAGCTCACTCAAATATATGAGTGACATCCTCAGCTTTAACATTCCAGATGTTGGCTAGGCTTGAGCAATGTTAAAGATCCATAACATATGGGATGTAATAATTTTTCATACATGAATTTGAGTAATAGTGTTAAGGTCGTGAGGTGAACCAGAGATTTACATAGCCAGTGATAGAATGTAGACAGCCCAGCTGTGACATACAAGCACAGCTGTATTCTCATTTAAGAGCCAGTAGGGAGATACACATTATTAGAAATACAAAATAAAAAAGTAAACTATGCTATCTTCCCACCCATTACAAGTTTTCCCAGGAGATATCAGGAGTCTACAATGTTTGTTGTTATGTAGTTGTTTTTACAGGGTAAAATAACATTGTTTTGATTTTTATTAGGATAAAACTATATTTAACAGTTTTTTTCCAATTAGGAAAAATTAAAGGTTCTTGAAAACTAGAGTCACCAAAGGAAGCTGAGAGTTATTTTTGAGATAACTTAGAAATCACCCAACACTGAATTACAAAAGAAATGCTTCCTTAAGACCTATCCCTTTCTTGATTGAGTAAATGTCTATTAACTTCTTGTCTGTGTCAGATATTCAGGAACTACAGAAACGAATAAAATTAACTCCTTGACCCCAAGAATTTCATATCTCAATTGAGGAAATGGATAGTAAAATACATCTGTAATATGTTATCTTATTGGTGGTTCTTAAATATCTTTGAGGGGAAGAATGAATTAGCTGGAAAGATCCCTGAAAAACACACACCACCGTTTCACCTAAAGAGGTCAAAGATGTCGTCGGAGGAGAGATGTTTAAACAAAGATGTGAGTTAAACAAGAGCAAGCAAGCCTCCACAGAGGCTGGGCATTAAAGGATGAGGCAGTGGGTGCAATCGCTGATGGTGTGGTACAACAGCAAGAGCCCAGGTGCCCAGAGAACTGATTGAGGGGATGAACTCAATAGAAACAAGAGCACCCCTTTATTCTTGCCATTGTGCACATCGCTTGGTGTCATATCCATAAAATTGTTGCTGAGGGTGATCTCAAGAAGATGGCCCCTTGGGATTTCATCTTGGAGTTTCAGTTCTCAGTCTCATGTTGACGTCTTTGGTAAATTTCCAGTTGATCTTGGCATACTGTATTGATTACCTTTGCATTGCTCTGACCCAATACTTGACAGAGCAATTTGAGGGAAGAAGAGCTTATTCCGGCTCTCAGTTTCAGAGGGATTTTAGACAGTCATGGCAGGGAAGGCAGAGGAGACTACCTCTGTCTGCTGTGCTGGAGTGGGACACAGGATCACATGGCAGCCAGCCAGGAAGCAAAGAGCACAGGACTGAACCAGGCCTGTCCCCAGCAACCTTCTTTAATAAGAAAATATGATTCAAAGTTTATAACGAGCATAACTTCATAATAAAAAAAAACCCAGTAAGTATGGTTTTTTTAAAGGAGCCAAGGGCGCAAGTATATACTTGTCCAAGACATTTGATACACATGGACATAAAGTGCATAAAAAGGCATCAGAATTCAGTCAGTGAGATGGAAATCCAAACCACAGTGAGATCATTGCATGCCTAGGAAGATGGCTGATTAGGGACTGAAGGGATGGCTCAAAGGTTAAGCTTTCCTGCTCTCTTGAGGGATCAGATCCCAACACTACATGGCCTCTCACAACCATCCATAACTCTAGTTCCAGGGGATCTGACACCATCTTCTGACTTTCCTGGCATCAGGCACATGTTGTGCACATACCTACATGTGGGCAAAAGTTCACACACATAAAATAATAATAAGTGAATCTTTAAAAAAGATGGCTGACTGAAGTGTTATGAGGGTGTGGGGGTGCTGGAACCTAGCACACTGTTAATGGGAGTGGAAAATTATGTAACTGCTATGGAAAACAGAGCACAGGTTCAGAAATGAGTTACAAAGATGATGGATTTATAAACCAGCACCCCCTAATCCTATGTCTGCACACAAAAGAATTGAAGCCTGGATCTCAAGGGGACACCTAACATCCCACATTCTTTGCAGTATTGTTTATGATAGCCACAATATGGAAACAATGTAACTGTCCATCAATGAATTAATAAAGAAAATATAGTATATACACACAATGGGATATCATTTAGCCATTCAAAAGAAGGGAATTCAGGGAGCCATGAGTTACTGTGCAGATATGGCCAAGTCCAAGAACCATACCACACACAACCAATCCTGAAAAGGGCACAGAAATGGAATTAAGAAACCCCAGTTACAAAGAGGTAAATTGCTTAAGGGGGTCGACGCCAAGTTCCTGAGTAACATGGGCTTTGCCAAGCACAGCATGAAAGGCCTGAAGGAGATGCAGGCAGATGTGAAGGCAATGAGTTCACGAGCAGAGAACAGTAAGGCTTTTGTGGAGCCCAAGGTGCCTAAGCCCAAGATGCTAAAGGTTCCCAACCACAGACTGAGCCGTCTTGCTTTGGTGGCTCACCCCCAGCTCGAGAAGTAGATTCGAGGCTGCATGGCCAAGGGTCACAGGTGCTGCCCACTAAAGCCCAAGACTCCAACCAAAGCAAAGGCCACAGCTCCAGCTCAGGCCCAAGCTTCAGTTCCAGCTTAGGATCCCAAAGGTGTTCAGGCCCCTGTGAAGGCCCCATAGAAAAGGCTCCTATCTTTCAACGTGAAGACAGATGGATTAGTGAGATACACCTATAGACTATTTGCAGATGGTCAGTGGCCTCTGCTATTTTTTAAAAATAAACTCTAGGGAAGATTTGGGGGGGAAGTGGGCGTGGTGTGGAGAAGAAGGTTGGAATCCTGCCATCTGAGGCAATATGTCTTAGCATGGAAGACAAGATGCCCACTGAAATATACCTGTCAGAGGAAGAGGACGAATAGCACCTGATCCCACTTATACCAAGTACCTGAAAGAGGCTCCTAGATTGAGTAAAGTGGTTCATCCAAGGCTTGGAGGAGAGGGAAGGTCAATGGCTGAAAGTTTTAGTTCCAAAAGGTCATGAGTTCTGGAGATCTGCTCTGCTGCACGCTGCCTCATGTTAACAGTAGTGTGTTGCACATTTACAATTTTGCTAGAAGAGGGTATCTCAAATGTTCTTGTCCCAAAAAAGGGACAGAACTGGGAGTGGAGGACATCTCTGGAGGTGACTGGAATATCTCCTCTTTTGATGAGGGTGATGGTTATATAGGTGGGTATGGGTTTGAACTTATAAACTTGTGTGCTTTAATATGTCCAGGTTTTGTAAAACAATTCCTCCTCCTCCTCCTCCTCCTCCTCCTCTTCTTCTGTAATTCACTTGGGATCAAACAAACAACAGACAGCAGTACTGGGGATCTGATTTATGAGGGAAGGGGTATGCCTTGGACTCCAGGCAACTCTAAGGCATTCAAGCCTCTTTTTTTTTTTTAATTATTATTTTGGTTTTTCTCTGTGTAGCTTTGGAGCCTCTCCTGGATCTCGCTCTGTAGCCCAGGCTGGCCTCGAACTCACCAAGATCCGCCTGCCTCTGCCTCCTGAGTGCTGGGATTAAAAGCTGCCCTACCACCACCTGTCCTAAATGTACAATAAAATAATGGAATAAATAAGAAATTAAAAACAGACACAGAGAAAAACATTCCCAGAGAAATAAAAGGAAGCCAGGTGTGGTGGGGCATGCCTTTAATCCTAGCACTTGGGAAGCATAGGAAGCTGGATCTCTGAGTTAAAACAAAACAAAACAAAACAAAACAAACAAACAAACAAACAAAAAACAGGACAGTAAATTCTAAACATTGAGAAACACAGCCTCAAATAAAATAAAATGAAATATAAAAAATATAAAACAATTCCACTTCCATGATGCTGTTAAAATAAAGCACTTTATGGATCTAGCAAAAACAAGCAAAGAGGCTGGACAGACAGCTCAGTGGAGAACGTGCTTGCCACACAAGCGTGAGGACCTGAGTTCGGTCCTCAGCACCCACATAAAAAGTCCTATTCATCTGTAATCCCAACACTGATGAAGCAAACTAGACAGATCCCTGAGCATCACTGACTTAGCGTTAGGGGCAAGCCCCAACATCCAGTGAGAGGTTTTATCACCAAAGAAAACTAAGGCAGAAAAAGCCTGCACATTTGCCCACACATACACCCACACACAAGTGAACACATGTACACTCACACATACACAATAAACAGAGTACACTCGCACACCTACATGCACACATGCATACACATAAACAATAAGCAGAATTAACTGGTGAGTTTTCAGTTCTCATTAGTAAGAAAATTTTAATTAATTTTATGCCCAAGTTAAATACAGTTTAGTGCTTAAAGTGTACAGTCTGAACATAAGATACTGTGGTAGCGATGACATTCATGCAGAATGCTCCCAGTGACTGGTGACTGTCAAACAAAAAAAATTTTTTTTAAATATAAGGTCAAGGGAAAAATATTGAAAGATTTTGGAGATTAAAAACTTTACATAGTTAACAATTAAAAACAAGAATGAGAAGAAAAGAACACCATTTTTAAGATGTAGGTGGAAACTAGAAGTGATTGTTTTGGGGGAAGAGATAAAGGGTGGTATGGGGACAGGACCACTGACTTTCATTATAAGCTGCTGGTTCTTTTCTTTTTTAATGTGTGTACATTAATAAAATGTAGATCGAGGTTCTGAGGAAAAGAACTAAATCAGCCATGAGCACCACACTGCTACCCCTGAAAATCTTGATTTTTCTCCTGAATCCTAAGGGAGACAGTGGAGTCCGAGTTGGCATTTCTGGGACTTCTCATCATGGAGAATCGCTTGAAGAAAGAAACAAAGCCCGTGTTGAAGGAGCTGAGTGAGGCCCACATCAGGACTGTGATGATTACAGGTACGTGGGGTTCCGGAGCCCAGCAAGGAGCACGCTGAAAAGAAGTGTGACCTGAGCAAGTCCATGGGACTGAGGTCGAGGAGACCTGTGCTGCATGGCCCTGCCTCCCTGGCAGTACATGCAAGCAGGAGCAGCATTTTTTTTTTTGAGGCAGTGACTGGATCCTATTCTCTGCACATTACCGCTCATCCTATTCAGGGTTCTATGAGTAGAAATATTTGTACACAGGCTGGAGCCATGACTCAGTCAGTTAAGGGCTTGTTATGCAAGCGGAGCTGAGTTCAGAGAGCCAGCTGCCATGTGAAAAAAAAGAACAAAGCGAGGTGACTCAGGCCTGAATCTCTGTGCTGGGAGGTGGAGACAGGAGGAGAATGCTGGGGGTTTGCTGGGCAGATCAAGGAGTTCTTGGTTCAGTGGGAGACTCTGTTATAAAAGAAAAAAGAAAACAAAATGGAGCATGGTTAAGGAAGACCCTTCTGACCTCATATATGAACACACACACACACACACACACACACACACACACACACACAC